TCTTTGCCCATCTCAAATAAGTCTCTGTGCTCTGTTGACACTGCTCCCACTAGTAATGTAACTTCAAAGCTTTCACTGTGGGAGAGAGGGATCTGATGCACAAGCAATTCTCTGAAAACCCTCAGCTTCCATTTCTGGTTTCAAACTAGCATGCCTTAATTACAAAGTCCATCATTTCAGAGAAAGGGACTTTTTTGTAATTACCTTATTTTGTAATTGCTGCTGCATATGCTGTTCCTGATACAATTGACCTGATAGATCAAGGCAGCTTGAACATTTTAGTGAGGCACAGAGTAATCTTTGGTTGCTATAAACAGTACCTGTAGTTGTACTTTGGCTAGATCTAATCCTTTGGCAATTATTGAGGGAAAGAAAACAGACCTTAGCCTGGAGCAGAGAGGATGAGACAGGAATGGGCCCTGAGTAACGAAAAGGGAGGTTATTTTCTCATTTGTAGAAAAAATATTTCTGTAGTCCACAAAGTAAAGTATCTCTAATTTAATTGTTTGTACACTTAGGAGAAGGTAATTGTTCCAAATGACACATGAGTAAAAGCATGGGGGCTTTTTTTGATTTTTGATCCTCTTAGGTTCACTATGGTAAATGTTTATAAATAGTCCATTCCTCATTACTGCAAGGTCTTAGAAATTATAAACCAAATGTCAGTACAGGTAGCTTTGCTATAATGTAATGGTAGTTGCCTTGTGAAGAACTATGGCAAAAATCAGACTGCATCCTGCCCACAGTGTAATGTGGGGCTGTACAGGTCCCATTCCATCAGAAAGCTTGTGGTAGATCTCTCAACACTGAGCCTTCTACTTGAACTCCACAGCAAGGGTAACACCATAAATACTTCAACATAGACAGCAAGAGGAAGCAGCACGTTATAGTTCTCAGTGCTAGGTTCAACCAAAGCCAGTTTAAAATTGCAGACAAGATTCTTTTTAAGTCATTCTTCTAAATAACTACCAAATCAGTTATATTTCAGTGCCAAGCAGCGACCACCAACACCCATGGTTGTCTTTTTAAGCCACTTCCTTCCTCTGGTTGTTTTCTTGCCCTTAGATAGTCCTTCCTGCCTTTTGAGGATGCTGACCTCATGGCCTTTCTCATCGTACCTTGCATAGCCAGGCCTTGGATTTATGCTAATAATATTGACAGCAACTGTAAGGATGTTTTTTAAGCTTTCCTTGAACGAGCTCTCTGCTGCATAGCAGCTTTCAATCACAACCAGGACATAGCTGAATTATTCAGATAAGATCACACATGCTTATTCAGTTCTGCCAAGGAGGCAGTGACTGGCATGAAATCACCTTAGCAGCGACTGCTATGACCAGGAGTAAGTAGCTGAATAGAAAGTGTCGCTCCAAGCTGACTATCTTGTAATTGCCTCATAGAGAAAGAAGCTTTTACAAGTTGACCCTAGAAGGCTGAAATACACCAGGCAGTCCCTGCTTCCTCCCCCACCCTGTATGGACTGACAATGGCATAGGGAAAGCTCGCTCCCCTAGGGAGGTGATGGTTAAATTCTCATTGCAAGTCTCAATGAGTATTTGTTTTTCTCTAAGGTAGTCAGCCACAGCATTCAGCCTGCCTAGTGCTGTGGGAGGATGTGACTTCGGTTTGGTCTCAAAGGGGACAGGTGTTTACTGATCACCTTTAGAGATATCCAGCTTAATACCACTCGCCTCTCATAAAAAAAATTGTTCCTCTTTTTTCCAGCCAGTGGAAATCAGACTCTACAGGTTTGATGTCACTGTGTTTGAAATACATATCTCTTAACAGCTTTGGGGGTAGAGCAGTAATTATTGATGTTTATATTATTAACATAATAATCACATACAAAGAATGCTTATTTCCTGGATGAACTTTTCTTTTTTTGGATAACTTTCTATCTTTGCATTCTAACTACTGATCTCATTGCTTCCTACGGATGATCCAAAACACAACAATTTATTTTCCACTCTACATGAAGTGGTTACAGTAACACACCTGCCTCAGGTGGGTGGTTTGTATATTTAATCAGCCAACATAAAATTGATTTGAACACAGCTCACTTTTACTGGCCACTAGCAGCAGGTATACAATAGATGGGTATTTTGTCTCAGCTGTTCTGGCTTAAATTAAGACAAAAGAAGATCAAATGCAAAGGAGGGACACAACAGTAGTGTGATGCATTAAAATCATTTGGGACCAGGTTCAATCATATGAATTACAGCAGTGATGAATTAGTGTGTAGAACTTTCATTGAATACCAGTTGCCAATGTTCTGTTTGAAGGAACCATTTCAGATCATAAAATAAATGGTTCTTTCTCATTATATGCTCACCTGTCCTGCTGAGTTTATAGAAAACAGTGTATTTTAGTACTTATCCCCTATTCAGCATTTTTAAATGGTTTTGTATAGGTTACTTGGGTTCTACGGTTGCCCCTACTTGCTCTGTTCAGAATGACTTGTTTTTCTCGTTAAAAGAAAGCTCGTGGAGTACTAATCTTTTTCCTCAATTATTATTGGAGAGATGGGTTTTCTTATTTCTCCTGTGGCATCAGACTAAACTTGAATCTTTCATCTGTTTCTCTCACAAAGCAAGGCTCCTGCAATCATGTTGTCTCAGTAGGTACCTGCTTATCCCCTGTGTTTAGCCACAGTAATTTTGTAACCTGTGGGCTGTTTTCTGTTCAACTTGACAGAGTAGCAGAGCTTGCAAAGGTAGTTTGGTTCTTCTAAACTTTGTAAAATTAGGGATAGAACAAGCTGAGGGAACCGGCAAGTGCTCTGACAGAAGAAGAGGCTGCAGCATAATTCAGATCTGACTTGGCACATCCATGGAAGTAAGGGCCTTGCCTGGCAAAAAGTTTCTGCTGAAGCTAGAAATCACCTATGAGATATTTGGACATCTTGATTTCTGTCATTATGTTGACCTATTCACATGACTCAGAAAACATTTGGAAACTCAGACTGCCTGGCAGATGTTCTCCTGCATCCATCCAGTTAGCATCTATACAGAGACAAACATGACTGCAGCTTTCTGTAAGTCCTCTTCCTCTCTTCCTATTTGCCCTCTCCCCCAGGACCTCTGTTGTCTCTAGACTCAGGGAGCTCCAGTGTTTGTGTGGTTTAGGGGCTTTTTTCCTCAAAAAAATTGCAGTACTCAGAAACTACTTAGAGAAACTGCTCTCCATTGCACCAGAAGCAAAGATACTGTGTCCTGAGGCCTCTACTTCTACCTCCATGACCAGCATAGATGTACTTGAAGTTCTCTTTAGTTTAGCACTTTTCTTTGATTTTGTCACGGATAAGTTACTGCCTGTGTATCTGTGCTGTGTAGAAAAAGCACAGAGATAAAACCTGTAGGTGGCAACATGAAGATGTGTTAGAAAAGGCATAAAAGAAGGGTCCAAAGTCACTTGTGTTAATGTGCTGAAAGAATATGTGAAGATAAATAGGGGGAGCAAATTCACAGGGTAAATATTTTTCCCAGTTATTAATAAATGCAAATGGAGGTGTTTAATATTCAAATGCTGTGAAAGCCATTTGTTCATTGTCATGAGTGGCATGTATTTCATAACATGAAATAAGCACCTCATCCTCTACCGCTACTCATGCATGCACAATCCTTCCCATTTAATTCAGCAAGACTAATTATCTGAATTAGTGACATTAGCTTGAAGCTATGGATTTTCAGATTGAGTCTCTGGCTTTCAGAACAACTTCTTTAAAGGAATTAGTCATGTCTAAGTACAACAGAACTGTCAAATTGCATCCCCTGGCTTTGTCTGATGTTTTTGTTGCAAAGCCAGACTTATGCAAGACTGTCCTCGTGGCAATAGGCAGTGGTTATTCCAATTTTATGGCTCTGACAACCCTAAAATGGCTCATAAAGGTTGGGCAGTTACCTCACTAGCTAATAGCAGATGATAGCTGATAGCGCTTCATTTTACCTTCCACCTCATTATGGACTTTGTCATCCACACTCCAGGGATGTCTGCTATCTGTCTGCAAAGCAACTCCTGAACTAATCCCCATTTTGGTTTAACTTACCATGCAGGCATGAAAACTGCAGCTAATTCACAAACAGGTCACAAACCCCTGCCTTGGCAGCAACATCAATCAGAGAGGCAGGGCAGAAAACGGCAACACTTCAGGAATGGGTGCAAAAGTGGCTTGGGAATCACTGCCTGCAGAGCTGCAATATCCCTGGGACTAGCAAGGTGCACAGCTGGAGCAGGTGCATCTTTTGAGTTTTACTGGATATCCATTAAATAAAAGGGGATGCTTATCCTTACAGTCCTGCATTTTGCTATAAATTGTAGAGTTTCAGTAACTCTGTCATGCCTGCACTGTTACTGAGGAAAATATTGGAAGGTTTAGGATCTGGAACACCAGCTTATCCAAGGTTGAGCAGCACAGGGAAGGGGGACAGAAGAGACAGGCCATGACTGTGTTTAACCAGTGAGGTCTTTAAGTCTATACATCACTTGTCACCCCTTATCTTTGAATGAACTGTTCATAATTAGGTAGTGTGACTGAAGATGTAAAATCCTACATGGCAAATACTAAACTTGCACCTCATTTATCTCTTTCAAGGGTTTAATGAATTTTCAGCTTCAGCTAATGAATAATGGCAATTTCAAGCCCATTGTCCTGTGCAGGGAAATTAATAATGGCCTAAGGAGCCTAGGCCTAGGAGCATGGTAGAGATTGCCAAAAAACCAGAATGTGTGTTTCTTTTTAGAAGATCCAACATTAACTTCAAATTTTTTCCAGTCACTATACAGTGCATATTTGCAAAGAACACTGAAATCACAATATGCAGAATCTTCTCTTGGGGGGTAAAAAGTGAGCAAAAGTTGCCTTCCTTCACCTACCCTGTTATTATAAGGTTACCATTATAAGGTTACCTTGTTTTACCCAACAGGTCCTCCTTGTTTATGCAGAAATTTTGACCAGGGTGGAAAAAGCTTTTAGTTGTTACCAAGATAATAACACACAAAAGAAATATGGCAGCCCAATCCTTTATTCAAAGATGTTCTTAAATAAGGTACAATAATTAATAGGAGCCAGGAAAATTCCAAACTCAAGAACTTGGCAGAAAGAACATTTGTCATCACCATTTTTTTTAGAAAAGGAGTAGTGAATGTTTCCACGAATTCCTAACTCCAAGGAGTAAGACAAAAAACAGCTCACAGTAGTAGCTGTGGATTCAGCTGGTTTGGGAATTCAAGACCAGGTACAGAAGTTTAAATAAGGAAAGCAAAGCATGGACATGAATGGATGTATACTACACTTCCTACTATTAATTTGCCCCCAGTACTTGAAAGAACAGAAATGCACCTGAAGTACAGAACTGTACATGAAGCACACATCTCTTACCCACCCAAAATGACTGATTTTCATTTCTTACTTGCCTCTCAGAAATGTAGCTAAAGGAAATGTTATGAAATAAAAATGTGGTTTTCAGTCACAGAAGCAGGAATGTACATTTCAGAACAATTGTGTAGTCAAAAAAAATTGTTTTACCTGAAAACACTGTATTTTTTTAAGCTCAATCTGCTAAAAGTTCATGATTGTTTTTGTTAAGCTTCTTATTCAATTTACCATGAGTTAGATCTTAGTTCTACTTATGAATATAAAATATGTAGTATTTATGCAGAGAATTAGTGTATTAATTTTGGGTTTAGACAGTTGGGTGAGATAAAGTCGTCTTATCAAATACATAATGGCAAATACATAACATGCCATATCCTAACATGGCCAGATACAAGACATGTAGGATTTAATAGCTTGCCCTTGTCTGTTGATGGAGGTGAATCCCAGACTGCTGTAGCAGGTCCACGTAAGATGGGATGTTGTCACTAGAAAAGATGGAATAAATTGCTTTTAGAAAAAAAAAATCACAAAATTAATTTAAAGATCCTATCAACAGCTTCAGTCTTCAGATTTGCATGCTTTTGCAAATGTTTTCTTCTGGAAGTACAGAACCAGATTCCTGCATATGCTGTATAGGCTTGCCATCTCAGAATTATCACTAATCAGGAACAATAAGGTTAAAAAGAATTGTTCTACTTTATCCATAATGGTTTTTGTAACTTCCGGCTTGATGTCTTTGCTGCTATATGCCTTCATAAAAACTCTGGATGCTAATTTCTGTCACATTAGCACTGGAAAATTTATTTCAGTCTGGGAGTTAACTAGCCTTGCTTTGAAATCATAAACATGCTTCGGTGGGAGTGCCTGTGAATGTGATTCTGTAAACTGGCTTTAATCCTGTCATACGGCAATTGTTAGGATTATCATTCTGGAGGCATAACTCATCTTGGAGTATGCCTGGCAGCTGCTGTGATCACAGCCTTCAGACACATGTATCCAACAACTAATAATTATACACAATTAGGTGTTTTCTATCCGAATAATTTTTCTGATGGAAAAGACAGTGGGTTTTTTTCCAGAAAACTAAGTGTCTTCAGGTAATTTCAGATCTTTCATAAGGCAGAAGTGAGTGCTGCTATCCAAGAAATCTCCCACCCATATCAGTATCAGAAATGATAGGAGAATAACCTGGTGCTTCCTTCAAGTTGCCCAAGGTTTAGCAGGAGGGTAGGGAAATCATGGCTTTCAGCTATTCTTTCCTACTTTGCTTCTGCTCAGAGTGAATGAAACTGGTGTCACCTTTTAGGCAGAACAGTCCTGCAAAGCTCAGTCTGAGACTCTCCAAATCAAATTCTTATCTTATTTAAAAAAAAAATCTTTTCAAAAGCCGCATTTCAAAAAGAAACTCACTTTCAAAAAGAATGTTACTTTTAAGTCAATTAAATTTAAACCACATTCAATTCAAAGTATATTATGAGAAGTTTACCTATTTCCCATTGGTAGTTTCAGTCAGAGTGATCAGATTGCTGTCTTAACAAGTATTTTAAGCACTGAAACTGTGTGAGTTTAGTTCTGCCCACTCTTGTCCATTTCAAGGGACTGCAGTATCTTCATATGAAAAGTGTTTCACGGGAATAATGTGTGTATTCTACCTCACACTTGTCCAACTAAATAATCTAGTAATTGTTCCTTAAATCTGACAAAATTTTGTCCCAAAAATGTGTACAATTTTAGCACAGTCCTAAACAATTTCTCTGTGACAGTTTGAGACACTTCATTTCATGTACTCTTGTGCAGATCTATAAATACTGCTTTTACCAACTGCTATGTCTAGTTCTCTTTTTGTGTTGCTGAGGTTTTATTCTACACTGAATAGAGTTTTGTTACTGAAATAGATGGAAGTTTTTATCTTTTATTTTTCTCCTCAGGAATTGCTTTCTGTCTGTTTTTTAAATCAACTATATTGAGGCAGTTTAGCTTCTGTGGACTTTTAAAAGGATATATATTCTTTAAGCTTTTACTGAGTTCTCCAAAGCACAATTAAAAAAGAACCTGTCACAATAAAAATGACTGCCTTTAAATAACTATTAAACTTGGACAGTAAAAACAAATCTTCTTTAATTTTTCAGGACACCTCTTATAATTGGGTCTTTTAATGTGTCGTTATGACACCATAAACCAATTGCCAGCACTGTTATATGGGTCAGTTTTACTTACTTAGGTACACACATACACTCCAAGCCTATGAAATGCCCTGCTGAGAAACCCCGTCGTACATGGATATCGAAGGTTTGAAGGCGAGAGGGTCCAAGTCCATGTAGTACTGTGCTGTGTCTCTCAAAGCTGCCCATGATTCACTAATCTGAAGTAGATAAAAACAGGAAAGAATATTCTCAGCTTCGATACTGAACAAATGCAGGGTGTGATTAGTGAGCAGACAGGAGTTACAGACAACTCCTGTGTTGATAAATCAGACAAATTTCCTCTTTTGCCCCAAAAGGATTTATGTGACGTGTTTCTTATTTTTAATAGATGCTGAAAGATGATGGAAGAAAATACCTGTTCAGCCACAGTGTCTGCCCATGAATTCTGGCTGCTGCTTGGGTCCCAGGAGCTCTGAGAATATAGTATGTGCCGTTTAAGTCGTAAAAATTGATTTGCTGATTCTTCTGTCAGAAAAGGTGCTCCAAGGACACCTGAAACAGAAGCTGAGAAATACTTGTAATATTATAAAAATATTTTGGAATTTGCACTTCAAAAAACATGCTTATATCCAAGGTACATGGGCTTGGACCTGTAGTTTATTTGATAGAAATCAAAGATGGTCCTACCTTAGGTTCTCAGAAAGAAACTTATTTTTTTAGGCCTGAAGTTACCAAAACAGATGCTCTAAATCATTATTTTGCTGTTGAATCCAAAGTAAATAAAGTTACAATCTAACTAAGGCATTAATTAATTTTTAATACAAGATTTTGTAACAAAAAATCCTCTTAGACTGGAATTGCAATAGTCTCAGATATACTGAGAAGCCTAAAGTTTTTTAAAAGAACCCTAAACCTACCTATGAATTTAACCACAGTTTCTAAACATCCTGGCTTATATATAGTATTTATTCTTATTAGTATCAGCATAGAAATTGCATACATGGAAATTACTTTATAAACAGAAGGTATTGCAATTCTAATCTTGTTATTGCATTGCTTCAGATAGCTTCTGATGTCACCACAGATGCAGAAGTACTTCTTGCAGATCTTCCTGAAATAACCATTCTGCCCAAGAAAAAGGTTTGAATTCCTTGTCAGCTTCATATGAAAGGCCCTGGTACAGGAAAAATCTTTTTTTTTTATTCTCATGTGTTTGAGATGTAACTTAATTTGGGGCTAAACTGGTTCAAAATAGCATATCAATTCAAATCACACCATTTTTAATGAACCATGATTAAGCTGGAGCTCGATACCTCAGCCGGGCTGAGACCACTGTCTGTAAACAGCTCTGCTCTGATTTAGTGAAGTTTTAAATGGACACCTGGGGGTGGCCTGCACATAGTTGGTAGAGATGGGCCAAGAACTTGTACTCCTGTCTGTTAGATCTTACCATAGGAGCTCAGCAGGACAAGCTATCACCTCACTCACAGCTCTCTAATGACCTTATTTCTGAATTACTATGGGGAAAATCTAACTGAGGATGTCAAATGTCTGCTTTCCTGTACAATGATCAGCTGAATCCAGCTCACTTGTAATTATTGCTGGCTTTCCTGATCACCCACAATATCATTGCTCATTAGTTTTTTAAATAGAAGAAAATGTATGCTGAATGCATAAAGGTAGAAGGTATGTGAGCTAGAGTGTTTGCTGTTCTCTTTCCCTTTATTTGTTCTCAATGCCAAAATTGCTATAAAAGAAGACAGGGAAAAGCTTGGTTATAAAGTAATGAACAAAAACAAAAAAAAGGAAATGAATGTGCTTGTCATCTTCACTCTTAACAGACATCAAATGGTACTTCAGAAAATTTACTTAGCAAGCAATGAGAGTCCCAGTAGTTCCTTCCTACTTCGGTTTCCTCATATTCCAAGTTACTATAATCATAAACTAGAGGTAGAAGTTTAAGGTTAGGAAGTTTTCAAGGAATACCATGTTCAAAAATGTTACCAACTCCATGGAAAAAAGTAAGTTCAGACATTTGGTGTGAAGACTCATGTGTGAACTGCTCTCTCCCTTAGGGAACAGAGGAATAGCTATTTCTGTACTTCAGAAAACAAGATTTTGGCCTGGGGAAGAAGAAAATATATTTCATGCATATGTCTATTAAGCTGCTATACTTCTATTCCAGAGCTGCACAAGAGAAAACTAAGCTTGTGCCAATTTCAATATTTCTCTGGCAATTTACTATTTTCCAATAGAAAAATCTATGATCTGTTAACTTCTCTTTAGTGAATTGTGACTTTGGGATTTTTTTTTTAATATTAAATATTTTGTAAGCTCATGATTACATTTCTAGACTGAGATAACTGAACTGGGATCAGAAATTGGCTCAGTAACAGGCTTCCACTTTTGTTTAAATGTCTATATAGTTAGTAAGATCCATTAAACATTAAATTTTATCACCAGTGTGTGTTCTGGCCTTCCAGATTTAAAGTAAACTGGAAAAAAAAAAGAACATTAAGCAGCTCTTCTTCTTGTGTTTCTTTTCCTCACTGCCAGCATCTTCAAAAAATGAGCTTGTAAGTCTGCTGATGGGACAGTGAGGTGTTGTCTTCACTACCGTGCTGCAGAGCTCTGTGTCTTAAGGGTATTATCTTTCAATTTTTAATAGTCTGCTCTGGCTGCACCTGTATCCAGTGAGAAATGCCATTCCCAACTATGCTGAGTATTCACTTTGATTAAAGTGCACTTGCCCACTCTGAGGAGAGGCAGGTGTGTCAGCTCTGCTCTTGGCCTCTCTTGTCACTGTTGACACCCAGTTCTTGTGCTCCTCTAGCGGCTCTCTCATCTCCTTTCACCTCTCACATTTAGCACCTGGGAGTAGTCTCTGTAGGACTTGTCCCCAGCTGCTGGGGCACTCCAAAGATGCATAAGTACCAGAAGAAATGAGGTAAGTGCCTTTATATTCCAGCTGATCCTTGAGGCTTAGCTCATTCTCTCTTCATTTTACTGTAAAACTCATTATAAGACTCTGAACAGGACAAAATTCATTCATCTACAGAAAAACTCTAGTGAGACCATTTATAGTGAAACCAGAAATAGCCCTGCTGGTCTTTCCCTGTGGCTGTACGGACAAAAAAGGTTGCATGTTTGCTTGTGTTCTGGCATAATGTAGACCTGGGGGCATCAGACCATATGTCCCCATCTGAGTAGCCCCTCTGAATACAGTGCATAGTCTTCATCAAATAACCCATGTCTTGCCTCAGTTTAAGTTCCTTGGACCGGGTGTAATTTTTCCCCAGCTTTTGAACATCTTAGTAAAATACTGTGGAAGGGTTTATTGCTCAGGTCAGTGTTTTATAAACACAGACTATTTAAGGAGGACTGCAGCTCTCTGTCTTGTAGAAGATTAGCACACAAACAAGGAGAATGGAATCTCAGAGCATCTGGATGTGAGACTAGAGGGAGTTAGGAGCAGGTGGGTAATGTTAATGAAATGGCTCACAGTGCATGAAGTTGAACTCCAAAAAGATGAAGAATTTCAAATTGTTCTGAAACAGTTAACTCACTGTGAAAAGCAATCAGAAATATTGTAAGTTAATGTTTTTATTCAATACCATTTTCCCTCTTTCTCTTAGATAAATATGTTATTTGAAAAGCACATTTAAGGGTAAATGGCCCAGTGGGAAAATAGCAGGAACGTGTGTGGAGGGTGAACTATTGCAGAAGTTGTATCAGCTGTTACTAGTTAGAATGTTTCCTTTTATCATCTCTTGAAGATTCATTCAGTGTTCTCATATGAAAAGCAAATTATAGAAAAATTGGCTGGTTTTAGCAAGCAGATGCTTAGCTCATGCAATTATTGCCTTCAGCAGATAGTTTTGTCTATCCTGCACACCTAAAGAGATTGTCCAGAGGGAAAACTATTAGTAATCATTTCTGCTATGATGCCTTCTGAGTATCTAATTTTGGATTACTGTGATCTGATATAAGACTAAACTTGAGAGAAGGGAGATGGTGGTAGAACCTTGGTATCTTTGTCAAAAATGAAAATGTTTATGTAGCATTGACTATAAAATCTGATTATGAAAAGCAAAACTGATTATGAAAAGGCATACTTGGAATGTCAAAATAAAAAGTATTACAGAATAGCAAGCAAACTGTATTTAAAATATAAAATCAACTTGGATAGATCTTAAATCATTGTGCATTAAAATCTCTTCATACTAGACTCAAATGGAAGCATAACTGTCTTGTGTAAGGATAGGTTTCTAGAAAGCAAGCTATTTAGCTGGGTGCAATCTTCACAGGAAGACACCCATTTCTATTAGGTGGATGTACAATGATCCACTTCATCACACAGTCAAAAAGGTGAGTATGAGATTAAATTTTGACACATTTTCCTGCTTAGGATCCTATTTAATTGATATACCTTTTCTTTTTTAAAAGCTAAGCAGCATGAGCCCTTGTGTACTTAGCAGTCTGGGGAGAGCAGGCAAGCCACTATTTACACGTCTAATGGTGAAGTTAAATGATAAGACAATCCTTTAAACTTGCTTTAGTACAGGATATGCTTTTGCTTCTCCTCCCCACCCAAGAAACTTTTTTGTCTAGTAGTATTTTATAAGTTTTAAGAATCAATCTCAAGGCTTGGGACCAAAATTTACCACTAGTGTGCATCTACCACAGGGAAAAGAGGTTTATCTCTGATTTGCTGTGATATCAAAAAAAAAAAAAGTGACAATTACTTAGCAGCACTTCAGTTACTCTCTGTGCACGTTGTTATATAAACTGAGACTATTTGTTTCTCCCTGGTTTCTGAAGACTATTGCAAGTTTCTGACAACCTGAAAATCTGTTGCTGAAGTTAATATCAATGGAATTTAAATGTCAAAAGTTTGCAATTGTTCTGGCTCCTATTCTTTTAGTCTCATAATTCTTCTTACTATCGGCTTAGGTGACTGCTCAAAATGTCAGCCCACAGGGCTAAGGCTGCAAGTCTTATCAGCACTTTAGGACAGAGCTTGGACAGAGACTAAACTTGGACAGAGCTAAACTTCAACCTTGCTGAGGTGGCAGGAGCTGACGTGTTGGGAACTTTGAAAAAGTAAATCAAATGCTGCAGCTCAGGTGTGTTTCTTAAGGTTAGCAATGGGGCAAAATGGACCACCTCCCCTTCATTCTTCAGCTATCTAACTTTCTAAATTTAAATTCACAAAGCCAGACTACAGAACTTGGGACGAGAACTCAGAATACCACAGCACAACAACACAAGTGCTGAAAAACAGGTGTGGAATTAGCTGGTTTTCTCCTCACTCAAGTATTTCTCCAGGTTATGTGGCACTTCATGGAAATCAAGATATGGTTCTCTGTCAGTACTTTGCATATATAGCTGGATTGCAGAAGGAATAGACTTTTGGATTCTGCAGGCCACATCTGGCCCAGGCACCACCTTTTTTCAGTAGAAAAGTGCAATTACATAAAAGTCTAACACCTGCATATTGCTTTTTCAAATGTTAAAAAAAGAAATTTGTGTATGTACGTTGGCTTTGTACCCCACAGTGTTTGGATGTTAACAGGCCTTAGAATAGAATTAATTCAGTCAGATTTGCTAATACCTACTGATTTAAAGTCACTGATTTTTAAGAGCTTCAACACTATTCATATAATCCAGTCTGAAATTTTGGTCTCATCTGTTTATTGTCAAAGCTTGAAGTAACGTAGTTTTTATTCTTTGACAATTGTAATTTTACATCACAGGACACAAGAGCTCTATGGTTCAAGAGATGAGAGCTCAGTCATTTAAAAGGCATTAGAGCTACAGCATCAGCCTCATTCCCTCATCAGCAAAGGCAGGCAAGTTACAGACACTTAAAGCAGAATTAACTATCGAACACAGTTCTGGTGTGATGCCAGGGGTCAAGAAAGTTGTCACATATGGGTAAATAGCAAGGCAATTTGGCAAAAATCCTAGATAATCCTAAGGAAGGAACTACTTTCACTGCAGCAAAGTATATTAGAAAAAGCATTGGTCCACTCAGTGGGTCCTGTTGAAATTTCCTTTCTAAACCCATATGTGACTATCAGTTTAACCTTGAATGAATGGGCAAGACAACCCCATCAGACACCCAAGAGACTTTAGTAATTATCCCAGTGCCAAGAGATCACCCTCATACTCCATCCCTTGCTGCTGCACTCTGTAGAGGCTAAAGAAAAAGGTCCAGAAAGCCTATTTCCAGAGATGTGACTGTGGTTTACTATGAGGAGTGATTTATAAAAGCTGAGTTGAGGGCATGATGAAGAGTCAGATTCTTATTGTTGCTGAAAGGATTCACCATTCATGAAAAACTGAACTGTTTGTGATCAATGAAACTTTTAAGAGTTCATTAAAAATCAGTAATAAGTAATTCTTCCTGCCTTTTGAAGAATAGGAACCTGGGAAAGATGGAAAACAAGACTACTTTAATCTGCCTTATGTCTCTTGTCTTTCCTAACAAAGTCTTCCAAAAGGAGGGGCAGCAAGCTGCTGTACTCCCAGCGTGGCTTCAGGTGACACTGCGTCATGGCGGCTTTCAATGGAAAGGAGGTGAAGTTCAAGATAGATAAGTACCCAGGAATGGTCCAAGTTCAGGTGCACAGAAGATCAGGAAGCACAAATAAGGGGAAAAGAAGGTTTCTAGGTTAACTCTAACTTGCAGGAGAGAGAAAGTCCCCTTTCCAACTCCTTACCTTCCTACAGAGTTTCACTGCAGCCAAAACTCAGGGTCACGTGACAAGGAAACTAATTCAGCCCAAAGGAGCGATTACACCTGGCTGTGATCCCAATTCAAAAAATACCTTTTTCATTAATTCATAATTAATCACTGGCTAATTCTGTCTCCCTCATTTTGCCTTAGCCGTTCACATCATTTATGTGCTGCATGTGTATTGGAGCACTCAGATCTAAGAAATGCTTTTAATGCATGCATGTGGATGGAGCATCTTTCTATGGTGCAGGCAATCACCTGAGAAGTCAACAGTCACTGCTTTGTTTGTTCTAATTTAGTGAGAAATAAATTAATCTCGCAGCATGTGCATCACTGATCATTGACTGTACCAGTGTGTGCTGCTTTGGGAAGAGCATGTGACAGCCCTGCCTCATCCATTTTCCCTCTGGTTCAAGTTTTATAGGTTGAGTCTTGATTGTAGGTGCCCTGGTTACAGGGTACTATGAAGGATCAGTGATCAGACAGCCTGAGTGCTTTAAAAAAATAGTCTCCTTAAGCCATTCAAATCAGGCATCCCAGAAATCACTTGCAACATAGATCATTTTGGGTCCTTATAAATGCATGTGAAACTGTTTCATGTAAACAGTAAATGTTGAAATCAGAATAATATTTAGGGAAGATTCCATAGAAACAGCATTAAGCTCTTTTTACAATTTTAACAATTCAGGAAGTTATCCTGTAAAAATGCCTTTCAGTCAGAAATGCATCCTCGCTCCTTATACATGAGGGTTGAGCAGTAAAAGGCTCAAAAGTAGTCACGAAGAGCAGAATCAAACTGTATTTCACAGAATTTACCATGCAATCTTGTGCTCACCCACTCTCCCATATGTCCCTGCTGCAGTGATTTCCAGTAAATTCTCTTCCATCAGTGCTGTTCTGGTGGTGACACAGAGGTTTTTGCCAGTTGACTATTTAACAAGCCAGAAGGGAATGACATGAGATAGGATGCCAGGTACTTACCTGTAAACAGCAGAGCAGACACCAAAATTTGAAACATTTTCAGAGACATGGCAAATTATTCAGAAAGGGTTTCCTTTGTAAAGTGAAGACACTGACACAGTTTTATACTTTGTTATCTTTAGGTTTATAAATCATTCACCAGATACGTGTAAACCATTGGTGCAGGCAGAGGGCAGGGTACAGTGCTTAGCTCAGGTTTGTCCTATATGCCTCTCTTTGTACACTTTGGACTTTGCAAGCTGAGCCTCTAATGAGCCATAATGTCTCATTATTGTGTGGATGCATTTACTTCTCCGTAAGTTTTATGATGCAAAATAGCCCATTAGGCTTGTTCCATGAGCACTGAACAGGCGAGCTTCAGTGTATCAGTCTTCTGCATGATTATTTCCCCTCATCCTGGTGGGTTTATAGTTTGGTGTGAATATGAATGGCATTTGAATCCACCTGCTCTGAGAGCAGTGCCAGTTTTTAGCTGTATAGTGCTTAGGTCGAGGAAATAAACATATGATAAAATTGACTGAAAAAGCACTAAGGTAGAAGGAAAGAGGGAGTTGGATTTCTGTCCTGAACCAGGCAGAGGTCCCAAGGTTTCTTGTTGCCTTCTGCTGGTTCAGGACTCTGTAATGTGGGACACTATGAGTTCATGCTCTCTCACCTTTCCCACCTCTCCAGATAACTGTTGCCTTTTTATGTACAACTCACTTGTTGGCAGCAGTTGTTGTACTGCAGACCAGTTTATCTTCATAAGCTCACCTACACTGATGATAACAGACCACAGAAAAGCTGAGCTTTATTGCACATTGACGTGAGTGATCATCACAGGCATGGGTGTACCCAAAGGGCTTTCCATGAGGAAATTAGACTCTGTTGACGTTACAGGTCAGGGACCAGACTCCACGCTGATGGGCAGTAGTACTTTATTCTTACATTCACAGTGAGAACCGTCCTGTCCAGACAGCGGATGGAGTAAAGGTTTGTTGAGAAGCAAAGGAGCATTTAGTTATGTAATTACAAAGTCTTATAGCTTTTTGTTATTACATATGGGTGGCCAGGAGGGGAGACTATTGAACAGCAGATCTAACAGTGTAATCCTTAACCTTGATGTAGGTCATATCACCACTTTAGTATTATTTTAGCTTTGTTCTAAAAAAAAAAATTAATCCATCCACCCCAGGTGACGAAGTACGCATGGAGGCAGGTGCTCTGCATTCTGGTGCCATGTTAACAAAAAATATTAATTATCCAAACTAATGATCAGTTTTCTCACCTCTGAGCTTCTAAATTAAATTTTAGATGTCAGCATTTTTGTGCACTAGCACAAAAGGTGTAAGGACTGGGACATTTGCCAATAGGTGACACAGATGGCTATGGCAGACAAGCTCTCAAGAACTGTAGATTTCCCAGAAATAAGTTCCAGGAAATCATACAAGTTATCCTTTCATCACACACGCTTTGTGGGCCATCTTCTCCAGCCTCTTACACACTTTTCTCTTATATGGACCCACCTTTCTACTGCAGTTTCCCTCCCACAGGGAGATTTTTCCTCACAGTTCCTGGTATAATGACTGGAAAAACATGTTGGTATGTCATTTTATTTTTATTGCAGTTATGCCTTCTTTAATGTGAAGCCTGCTTATAGAGAACAGTGCTAGGGATATGTCATAGGTAGAGAGACAATAGCAGCCAGTAAGACTTCACTGCTACCTGGAAGCAGATCACAGGAAGTTGTGCTGGACTGACAACACAGACCCAAGTCACCTACTCCTCCTAATTCATCTTAGGAAGCAAGAGAAAGAGATAAAGTTTTTTCAGGAACAGGATTTGAAAAAAGTGGTAAAACAGTTAAAGGCAACAGATCCCAATCGATCCTGAGTAAACTAAGTTCAGGCTCCCAGAATGTAAAAACAACCTTGCTCTTGCCATTTCCAAATGAAACTTGCCACGTGCTAGAGAATATGACTTGTGTATATCCCTTACTGATGAAGCCTTGACTCTGTTATAGGAAAAGTCTTCACAGAATGTCTTCAGGTGGGTCACAAAACATGGTGGGGATGTTGCAATGCCTGGATTTAGACTCTGAGTTCAGAAGAACACAAGGCTTACCCTTCTGTAGAGTGGAACAGCAGTCAGTCAGTTTAGGTTATGATACAAGATCTGTGAAGAAGTTAAATTGCAGACAGCATGTCCCCTTGGACATATAGATCCATGACACGTGAACACTCTTCCTGGTTTTCTGTGTTTCATCCCTTATCCTGTCATGTTTGCTTCTTTGTCTGATTTAGGCCTTGTTCCTGGCCCCTAATCTTGCTTGTCTAGGCTGCCCAGCTCTGTGTTCTTCCCTTGAGACTTGTCTTGCCTCTTGTTCTGTGCACTTCAGTTTTACATAAAATGATGCTGTGCCCATAAAACCCAACATCTTTAGACTGAAGAATTTATAGGTCTCTTATGAGGAGAGTGGCTTCCCAGTGTCATTTCCCTTTCCTCCTTTCATATGTGTCCTGCTTCCCATATACACATGGTGTACAGCCCTGAGGTTCATTCCCTCCCTGCCACCTACCCCAGCCCTGCTATTGCTGAGTCTCATTTCTGCTCAGAATAGTCAGTGTTTTTCCTGAAGCTCTGTAATGTACGTGTAGTTTGGGGGTTGCATATGCCCCACTGGCTCACATACAAAAATTTTTAGAAGACAGATGATTTCTGAGCTGTTTTTTTGAGGCCATTATATAGAAAATCTGGATATCTCTAAAAACCCATGAAAAGCATGATTTTTTTCATTGAATGTAGAATTTTAGCTGTTAAACACTAACAGATATACAGGCTGCATTTTTTTGGAAGATTCAGAGCTTGGCCCAATGGCTCAAATTTTTATATGGAGTATAATTGTATCATTTCCATATGATGCCCTGCCTCTCTTGTGAAATTTCTATTCCCTACTTTAAAGCACGGAAAGCTTAGTCAAAAGAGGTTGTCATCAGAATATTCAGTGCAAGTTAAACTTCACACCACACATCCTCGTCTCACCTGGAGAAATAGCCAAGATATTGGTTAAAATGGTTCCAAAAATATCAGTTTGATGCAGACACCTGAGATAGTAAAAATAATTAAAAAAAAAAAACTCAGACCAAATTATAAAAGTTTAACTGTGTTATAGGCAAGTGAAAATAAGATTATCTGAAGGGACATTTCAGGCAATCTTCAAGGGTACCAGCCTTATCAATAAGGTGTAAGGTAGAACTTTAAATTGGCTATACAATGAGGCCTCTGTCTTCTTGAATTATTTTTTATTGTATTTTTCACTAGTGGAGGAGTTGTAAAATATCTAAGAGGGGAGCTGAACGTCCTTAAGATTGCTTGTTGCTTCAAGTTGATTGAAATCAGATAGCATATAAAATTATCGGGAAGGAGAAAGCCGGTAGGAAATCTTATATATAGCCTGGGTTTGGGAACAAAAAGACAGATAAAGTTGAACAATTTGTGCTGGAAAATCCACATTCTTTTTCTTCCTTGATGCCAGCTTCACACCTGCACAGTAAAACCTAATTCTTTTAGTCAAATTTCATCATCTAAGTATAATGCTAATCCCTAAGATTTTGTACACCACTATGTAACTGTTGAAAAATGTAATCTTCTTCTGGTGTATTTAATATCAAATTCCTCATTTGTTTCAGCTTGTCTAACTTTTGCCAGTTTTGTTTGTTTATCTCTAAGGAATCTTTGATTTAAGTAGATGTGCCTATACCAGTGTTTAACTTTGGGTTTTGAGTATCTGAAAATACTCGTTGTGTTGCTATGATATCTTTTTGGAATAGAGATGAGACAAATGCAAGGTAATATTTAAAAGGAAACACACGGAGGATGTGAAAAACCTCTCTCAAAACAAAGGAAACATGCAAGAAATTGTACATGGGGTACAATGTACAAGCACTCAAAGCAGAATGTGTATTAGCAGCATAGAAAGCCCACAAGCTTCTTTTACCTTGTCTTGTTACGTTTGGCATTCTCTTCCTGGTTTAGTCTAATTAAACTGAGTCAGAAGGCCGTGCAAAGGCAGACTTCAGCAAATTAAGTGAAGCAGACCTCTTCCAGGAGCACAGCATAAGACATGTTGTACTGGGTTAAACTGAGAACCTGACATCCTGTGCCTGACTTAGGCCAGCAGCAGAGGACTAGGGAGGGGGAGAAGAAGACAGTGGCCATTGCTGTTGCCACCAGCACACCTTCTGTACAACCAGCACACCTTCTGTACAACCAGCACATTGTGGCTAAGGACTTGAAGTGAGGGGCAGTAGCTTAGTGTTTAGTATTTCTGGATGGATTCTCAATACCTTAGTTTTGTAACCACATTTAAAATCCACAGATGAACCAGGTGCAATATTAAACCCTGCACCTGACTATTATTTGAGCAACATTTCTTCTGTTACTTTTGTCTCATGGGAAGAGCCTGGTTACGTAATTCTGCATCGTGTTTCTTTTCTGGTGGAAAGGTAGAAAGGCTAAAGTTGGACTGTTTGCAGTGTGGATGCTGCTGCAGTTCACTGGAAAAGACTTGGCAGGAGTTTTGAGAAAGTACTGGGGGATTTACAGCATTTTGGGTCAGTCAGTGATTCCAGTTACTGTTTTCTATATTCTGCCCTGCTGCCTCTGAGCAGTGCAAGTCTTGGAAGACATCTGCCATCATCCTGGCACTAAAGGCATGTATCCACACACAACCTTGGGGCAGCACTCTCGTTCCAGCCACAAGCAGTGCTACCAGAACTCCGGTTCAAGTCACAGGATGCCTCTCCAGAGTCATCACTGTTGACTGACCTGCCTTTACAAAATTTTCCCCCTTATGAAAATTCACTATCTCCTATTTTTCCAAAGTGATGATATAAAGGCAGTTTGTATAAATCTATGTACAGTGGAATTGAGCTAAGACTTACAAGGAGATCTAATGTGAGCAAGTTAGCAGATCTTTTATTGACCATTACTTCAAATACCTGTCATGTCTTGAAGTAAGCCTACTGGCACATGGTGAAGTATTTAGCACAGCAGGACTGTGCACTTTACACCTTCTGACTTGGAGGTGTGCTTTAGTTCAACTTTTTATTCCAATGAGCCACAGCTCTTGATAAGCCCATGCTTGCCTGTGA